TTCGATTTATTAAAAAACTTACTGGGCATCCACTTGTGCCAAGCTCTGTCTGAGATTCTGGGATCCAGAGTGGGACAAGGCCAAGGCCTGTGTCATGACTCTTCCTTGCAGCAGGGGTTGTTAATGGTCACCATGCAGTCTGAGTTCCCTGTCACTGAGAGACACCCAAGGTGCTTGGGAGGAGAGGGTGAACTCCCTCAGCAGAATCCTAAGGGAAGATGGGATCCAGGCAAGGTGGAACAGAAACATCTTCAAAAAGGGATTGCCTGGCAAAGACAGGAGGACCCCTGGGGCTTGCTGGTCAGCGAGTCTGGTCTAACCTGTGAGCACTGGATTCAGTGAGAGATCCCAGCTCCTTATCTTAAAACGGTCAGTTCCACATCAGTTTTTAAAAGTCAATCAGGATATCCAAATGGTTCGTAACATACAAAAGGTTGATCAGCTCGAACTGGGAGATGGGTCCCTGGGTAAAGTGTCTGCCACACAAGCATGAGGACTGGAGTTCCATCCCCAGCATCCTGGATAAAAACCGAGCACAGTGTGCATTTGAAACACCAGCCCTGGGGAGGGGGAGGAGCGGAGACCCCTAGGGCTAGCTTAACAAGTATTCTCCACCTGTAAGTGAGAGTGCCAGCGAGAGAGACCTTGTCTTAGAAAACAAGATGACGGCTCCAGAGGAACAGCCAAGGTTGACGCCAGCAGACGTGTGCGCCCACGTGCACACACACACACTCATATGCACACATGGGGGAATATAAATTAAGACTTCATTAAGATTCTAACTGGTGCCTGTTAGAAATGTTGACGTTAAATGCAGTGATGAGGCCGGAAACTGGCCAGGATATGAGGATGGGGGCTTTCGCTTCTCGATGCTCATGTGTTTTGGTACAAACACAGATGAAGGCATGCCAGAAGAACCTGGTTATCTGACTATGCACCCCTGTGACCCAGCACCACACCTAGGTAGGAAACTAAAGGAAATGGCTATGCTTGTGTCCAGAGACGCCCCTGAGAACAGTCTTACCACACCGTCAGATTCCACAGGCCCATGACAGCCCACATGCTGTTGGAGAAAAGTGGAGAAGTTGCAGTGGTTATAGTCACAGGGCGGGCTGTTATACTGCAGTGAAAATAAACTATTGCCTCATGCATGTACCTCAAAACCTTAGCATTCAGAGAAAGAACTCGAAATGGAAAAGCAAGTTCTTCACGGAAAAGGCTCGGAGTCAAGGAAGACAGAGCCCAGGGGATAAGGATGCGTGTTCAGATGGCCAAGTTTTTGTTTGTTTTTTGTTTTGCTTTGTTTTATTTGAGTGAACAGAAGTGACAGGCGGCAATCACACCTGAGAGATGGAAACCCCCACCCCTCACCAGAGCAGCAAAGCCAGGGCGCTCTATTCCCTGCTGGGCTGTCCTTTCCAGGCACGCTCCTCTGAACAGAGGCCTTACCTCACAGGAAACCAAGAGGACCAGGCAACTAGCACGCATCAGCATTTTATCAACAGGCACAGCACAGCCATGCCTGCCCCAGCAACAGCCCTGGACCCCCCAAACCGGCAGCCATCCCCACCAAGCTGGCTTCATCGGGAGCCGAAGCCACAGTGCTGGCCTGAAGCCTGGCCCTGACCCTTCAGAGACACAAGGGGCCCTGATGGTGACATTTCGGTGATGCAAGGCGGGGTGGGGGCAGTGGCTGCCCTCAGGATGAGTAAATGTGGGGTGGGGTGGGCTTTTCTTTCTGACTGTGAATTCAGAACCCCTCGGGGGGAGATCTGGGCCTGTCTCCTTTCTGTCTCCAGTCTGCAGGTGGCCCGGCGACGGCTTGTTTCCTCTGTTTGCTGAACCTAAGTAAGTCTCAAGCTGGGAAAATGCCATTTTGTTTCCCAGTGTTCAAAACTAAAAATACAAAGCTGAGCAATTCCTGCCATCCCATTTCATAGATGGGAAAATTGAGGGTCAGAAGGAGAAGTTAATCATCTCAGTTTACAGAAAGAATGGGTCCATGACAAAGCCTGGGTTTTCCAATGTTCAAAACTGGACGGCTGAGGGGCAACTAGGAAGCTTACAAAGATCTAATTTTTAATAAATCCACATCTGCAGATTAGTGTACACCCGTGTTCCATCCTATAGGAGCTTTGCGTATGGTGGCATCCAGGGACAGCATAGGCAATAGAGCCAGAGACCTGGAGAAGCATCCCGGACTCAGAACAGCCTTCCTGGGGCACTAGCATTTGATGCGGCTGGCAGCCCTTGGGGCCAGTCATGTGCGGACTCTCTGCCAGGCTTGCTGGGAACCAGACCAGAAGTCTCACCTGAGTCTAGATGTCTGCAAAGTTCATTATTTCATTTTTCTAAACAGCTGGTCCTGAAGGCAGCTAGATCAGTTAATATATCGATATGGCAGCACAGTCCAGTGTTGGACCATTCCATACAACGTCCCCAGCTGCCCGTTTTAGTCACCCCTGCTTCTTTCCCTAGGACTAAGCAATTATAGATGTCCTCCATCTCTGTAGTTTTCCACTTTTAGAAATGTTGTTTAAATGGGCCCTGACAACGTGCAGGCTTTTATCTGGCCACTTACACTTACCGTGCTGTAGCACGCATCTTTGCTCCCTCCCTTTTCATTGCCGAATAGTATTCCATTGAAGTGACATTCCGCAACTTACTTATTTAACAGTCAATGAGCCAGTTCTTTCCATGCTGTTGTGAATGGTCATACAAAAGCTTTTGAGTAGCATATGGTTTTCTTTCACTTGAGTAGACTTTCAAGGAGTAGACTCACCAGATAGTGGTGCAGTAAATATTTAGTACTTAAGATGCTGCATAACTACTGGGGACATAAGGCAGGCTCAAACATTTAGTGGTCAAGAGCATGCATTCTTCCAGCTGTACTTCTGCCAATGAAGGTTACGTGCTCTTGGACAAATGACTTTGCCTTGGTGTCCTCATCTGTGAAGCTGCATCTGTGAAGCTGCTGGTGTGAATTCTGCTGGCTTCTACAAAGCTATAAAGTCTTGGGGGTTGGCTGAAATGTCGTCTAACCAGGCAGGCCGGCCAGGCCAGCCTTGGAGTTCTGATCCTCTTGCCTTAGCATCCCAAGTACTGGGATTGCAAGTTCATGCCATTACACCCTGCACAACCGTTCTCTCTCTGTGTCTCTCTCTCTCTGTCTCTCTCTCTCTCTCTGTCTCTCTCTCTCTCTCTCTGTCTCTCTCTCCTTTCCTTTTCTTTCTTTTTTCCTAACAGACAGTTGAGCAGTAGCCCTGTGGGAAGAATCTCCCAGAGTCCATAGACTTTTGGGTTATCCCAGATCTACCTTGGAACAATTGAGCAGCTCTAGGCAAACTGTATGCTCTGCTTCTCTGGGCCTCCTCTGTTAAGCTGGAGAGGACCCTCCAGCACAGCAGGCTGCAAGGGCTTTGGAGATGCACTGGGCTCCTGGAGTGAGCAGGACACTCCTACTAGAGCCTTCACCAGAGACTGGGGGACCTTAAGGCCATCTCTGGAAACTCCTCTGATGGCTGGCAGCAAAGGCTCTGGAGTGAAGGTGCCTGAATCAAACCCTACCCCAGACACCGAGAAAGTTACAGTTTGGATTCTGAGTTCTCAGAATAGAAGAGCTAAGGTCCTCAGTGCCCAGCCCCTGGAATGATGACTAAGATGGGGACTTGTCCAAATGAGAGTTAGCATGTAAACCGCATGCAAGATCTATAGAGCTCAGGGCTCCAGGAGCCCTCTTCAGATCCCAAAGGAGCACTGAATGTTGTCAGCTGCCCTCTACCGCTGACTTGGCAAAGCCCTGTGTCATATGGGAAATTGCAAGGTTTCTACACTGGCCATCCTCGGGAGAAGCCAGAACTCTGCTCCAGCTGCCCTTTGATCTGCAAGAAAAGCTAGGCTGGAGTCCCTGGCAGGAAAAACTGTCATTGCTTCTGTGTCTCCCTCTCACAGACCGCAGGCTGGGTGGTACCAGGCTTCTTCAAGTATCTAAGGAGTTAAACAAGGCCACCAATCCCAGCCCGGCTTTCATCAGAGGACTATTACATGTCTCCGGAGCCTTCACTTACTCTACTGGGTTATGTGCTAATCCTCTAACTCAAACGGGGTGAGAGGCTGCGCTTCCAAAAGCCTGGTTCTGCCCAGTGCAGAGTGCATAGCGCAAAGGCGGAGCAGGGACCGGAACCTGCCCAGCTGGGTTTGAGCTCTGGCTTTCAGCGCTGCCTGCACTTCCTAGCCTTCCCCTGCAGCTACAGTGCTTTCTGACACACAAGTTGCTGTGAAGAGGAAGGTATCTTCCGTCTCTTATTTTCTAAGTACCCAGAAGAATGGAAAGGGCATTACTTCCCCTCTGTTCATTAGACTTCATAACATCCCTGGGTCTACTTCATCCTTTTCAGATGAAGAAACTGAGGCACATAGAAGGGAAAAGTATGGTCACCCAACAGAGGCGTGATTTACCCAGACAGCCAAACTTTAACCCAGACCCACTTTAATCCAACAGTTTCTGAGTCCTAGTTGGGGGAAACTGAGGCTCAGAGAACATAAGGAAGGATCACTTGCCTAGGTTTAGTGCATCACCTACCGAGCTTCTGCCCCTCAGGGATGGGGACCACTTGTAACTGATCTGAACCAAGCGCGCAAGCGACTCGTTAGGAGAGACTAGGATGCCAAGGTGTCCCTGCCGGTAACCTGGCTTCCTACGGACCTTATAGGCATCAGATCTGCTCAACCCGAGCCTGGCGCGTCAGGACCTCAGCGCGGAAGTCCAGCGCTCTTTGGGACCCTGTTCTTTCTGGCAGTGTGGTGCCGCTATACAGCCAAAGCCCTTCTCCGCCCTCACTGGGGAGCCGCGTCCAGATCAGACACCCTGCGTGCCCTGCCTGAAGCGATCGCCCGGCGCCCAGAAACTCGGGGACCCGGGGCAAGATAGCCAGTGCGCTGCGCCAAGCAAGCACTCCTTTTATGTCCAGGAATGAGGCGCCGCGGCAGCCGGGCGGGCGCACACCCTGCGGTGGTGGCTTACCTGTTGCGGTGCGCGTCTGCAGTACAGCGGAGAGCAGCGCTGAGGAGATGATGGAGAGCAGCCACCGCGGGCGCTGGCCCTGCGCGGTCCTCCTGAAAGAAGTGATAGCAGAGAAGGTGAGGAGGCAGCGGAGCAGCGAGGCCAGGGCGCAGGGGCGCGGGGCGCGGGTCCTACCTGGGTGCCATGGTGCAGCCGCCTGACCCCAGCTCCGCTTTGCCCGCAGAACAAAGGCGGCATTCGGTGGCGACCGCTGAATCCCGGCTGCCGCCCGCGCCTGAGTCACCCGCGCACTGAAACCCGACTCCGCCGCGCCCTGCTCTCCCCCACGCGCGGTGCCCCACCTCGCCGCCGGTCCCTGCCGAACCTCCCCACGCCCCCTTCTTCCCGCCACCCCAGAGCCTTATGTAACTCGTAAAGAAAGCCCGAAAGCCCCGCGTGCTGACACAGCGCCCCACAACCCTGGCCAGCTGGGTTCCCTGGGGTTTCCTTACATGACAGACCAGTCTACTGAGGCTCAGAGAGGATCTGCAGTGTTCCAAAGCCACACAGCTGAAGTTGCTCCCAGCCACACCCAGCACACCAGCCAGGATCCCTTGCACGCCCCAGAGTAGCGGCAGTGGGGATGGAAGTCATACCCAGAGCTAGGACTTTGAAAACCACGTGGTGTGTGCCCCGAACATTGTGGAATCCCAAAGCCTTGACCAAGGGGTGCAGCCCTCAGAAACCTGATCTAGCCTCCCCGCCTGCCCCTAAATTAATGATGGAGGAGCTGTGGTTCAGAGAAGGGAAGCAATTTAACCAAGATATCCACCCAGTGAGCGACACAGGGCGGGAGACCCAGTATACACGAGGAAAGGGCCAAGTCTCAGCAATGACCAGGGCACCTAGCGTCGCGTGTGTCACCTGCCCGCTGGGGAGAAGATATACCACTTAACCAAAAAGCTACACAGAGGGCAGGAATCGGGAGCTCAGCTCTTGGAATCCTCGCGATCACTAGTGCGCTGTATGAAACGTTGGGGTGAGAACACCGCCTTCTCAGGCTAGACCTCAGGCATCTAGATGTTAGTAAACTACACTGACTTCTCAGCGTGGCCAGCACAATGCTCCCTGCATGTCTGCTCTGCTGTGGGCACTGCGCTGACCATATCCTCAGATAGCAAGGGCCAAGACAGGCAGGACCACAGGCTCTTAAGAGACTAAGGCACAAAGAGCCAAAGAGACCCCAGAGCCAGGAAGGCTCCATGGAGCTAACAAGGAAGATAGAGCAGCCTAAGGGCACCGCCCACTTTAGGGACTTTGATAGGATTCACACTGCCTGTAGATGTGAACGTTCTCTCCCCACATTGCAGCCTTCTGTGATGGGTATAATTGTTGCTGCAAGTCACTAACCATGGGGAATCGGCTTTCTTGGGTCTGTATTTCTCTATTGCTGCAAAAATGCATCACCTGGAGCTGAAATGGGAACTGACTTCCTGAATAGATTTCACCTGGGAAGACAGCAACGCCTGGAACTGTTCTGTTTGATAGTTAGGGCCAGCAGCTATAAATCGGTGCTCTGGGCTCCATGTGGCCTACAGATAGCTTTGGGTTGATTTGCTGAGAATAGTTTCTAAATTAAAGAGTTGATAATAACAATATCTTATAATTATGGAATGTCCATTAAGATCCAGATTTGGGGGGGCTGGAGAGATGATTCAGAGGTTAAGAACATGTGCTGCTCTTTCTTGAAGAGGATCCAAGTTCGAGGCACCCACAGAGAGTAGCCCATAATCACCTGTAACTCTATCTCTTGGAGATCTAACACCCTCCTCTAGACTCTGTGGGCACCCCTACACACACACACACACACACACACACACACGGGGGGGGGAGAAATTGATGAATAAATCTTTAAGACTCAGATTTATGGATTTTTAAACACAATGACCTGGGGCCTATATTCTCCAGATCAATTATTATTGGAATTGAATCAGTTAAGGCAACACTGTCCAGTTAACCACAATTTCCTGTTTCTCCCATCACCAAGACAAAGAATGAGTTCCCTTAATGCCACACTTGAAGTCTGTCTTTGCTCATAAGAAAGAGTGGAACTAGGTTGCGAGTTCACCAACCTGTTCCAAACAGACAAACAAAAGATCTACGGGGGAGAAGGCTGTGTTTAAAGGATTATGTATTTAATACACAGATAAAGTTTCATATGTAATGCTATTGTGTATTATTTAATTTATTGTATTTAATAGCACAGATGACAGTCCGCAACAAGCCTGGCCAGCCCAGTTCTGTGTTGCCTGCCTTTCAACAGATGGGCTTGCCTGCGCTTCAGCTTATCAGTCCGGAGTGTGCGTGGATAACGCAGAAGACTCCTTTACAACTCTCTCAGCAAAGCCCTGTGTACACACCTGCTGATCCAGGTAAGCGCCTAACTCCTTGGAATCTGAAGACCAAGGTCCCTGCAGATCTTTTCTCTCATGGTGACTGGAACTAGACCCTTACCAATGGTGCTGACTTACATCTGTTTCACCTGAGAAGCCAGACCGCGTTCACAGACGGAAGACTATTGTTGTGGACTTTGACTTGCAGGTGGGATTTATGGTCTAAGACTGATGGTGGACAGGGGTGTGTCTCAGGCCTGGGAGCTGAAAGGGGGGGGACAGTCTCAGCTGTGGGTGTGGGAGAGATGGGGCAGGAAGCCAAGCGAGGCATTCCACCTCCTGCCAGACAGGGCTCTGAGGGCTTAAGTGATTTCCTTCCATTCAATGCGAAGTTGTAGAAATAGCCAAAAGGAAGCATCATGTCATACTCAAGCTAGTCTAAATTGTTTACCACGGGTTCAGGCCAATCTGCAAGATTGGGACGTGTGGAGACCAGGGATTTAATGTCCCAAATTCTCCAGAACTTGACTAAATGAAAAGGCTGTCCATTTTCCTATAATCCAGCCAGATGTCCCAGAAGGCTCTGTATCCAAGGGCATTCTTCAGACTCTCTCCGGCAGCTGGGAGGGCACAGGAACCTGGGAGAAGCATCCCAGACCTTGTTTGGAAAGAGGTTACCAAGAGTCAGTGTGCACCATTCTAAACAGGACTTTCTTCAGTACATGGGTATGATGTGTCTGTCTTTTGTATCTCACAGGATACACAAAGCCTGCCCTGTGTATCTGATTAATGAGCAGAAAAAGCAGACTTCACTAGTCGACTAGAAGCGAACTTACTAAAATAGGCAGAGAAGAGGGCTGCCTCTTAGATAATCATGAGAAAACCAAGACGGTTAACACAGCTGCCGCGGGGGGGGGGGCTTATATTCCTGTGAGACCTTGGCTGTGTGAATGCAAGGAAGGCCGAGGAAGCTTGTTCAGCATGCCACACGATGGTGGGTGTGAAATCTGAGGAGCCAAGAGTGAGGGGACAATAGGAAACGGGAGGCAGGGTGTGCCACAACACAACTAGCTCCCTGTCCATGTGTCCCTCCCTCCCCATTTATGTACCTGGTGGCCACCGTTCCCCTGACGGCACCTGAATCCCCTTACCTGAACGCTTTCTCACAGCAGAATCAAATTCTCCCTTCCAGTTATTTAGCCAACGGAATCTGACTGGTGTGCTTTCTTTCTTCCAGATGTTGTGTGCCAAGTAACTTCTTCACCTGGCTCTCACTCTTGGTTTCTCCCTCTCTCCCTGCCTCCTGGGAATACTTCCAAGGCCTGGCTCTTCCCCTGAGTTATATCTCCAGCCCCATTTTGAGGTTCTTCCTGAGGCATTTTGAAATGTGGTCTCACAATACCGAGTCAGGCACAGCCAATGCCACTTATGGAAGGGTTCCTCCTCCTTCACCCCTGCTCCTCAGAATGGTGCTAACTGTACAACAGAGGCGCCTAAGACTTGTCTCAGATGCTGCTTGTCTGAGATGCCCAGGACGGGAGAAGGCAGGTTATCACCCACACTCTCACGCATTCACAAGTCTTGGCCCAGTATCTGAGGTATCACTCACTTACTGCTCAAGGCTCCTGTTAGTATGATGTAGCAGCATAGATGACAGACAAATATTACAGAGGTGTATTCCTATGAGTTACATGATGATGAATACTGGAGATCAAGCAGCTGTGTGGCGAGACAGTAAAATACGTTCCCATCTTTGCCATGTGAAAGTGCACTTTTTGAAACCTTCCCCGAGACCCCGCTTGCCAGATCATACTGCAATTCACTGCCAAAGGCTGTGTTGGTCTGTTTCGGTAAATCCCCTGCATCTGTCCCTGCAGCTGCCGTGGATGCCACTATCCTGCCAAGCTCAGAACAAGCTGCTGTTGTATGCCACAGTCCATTTGGCTCTCGCGGGCGCCCAGCACACCTTTGCCTTTCAAGTCCTGGTGGTGCCTCTGGTGTCGTTAGTACTTCCTGGGGTCTAGGTCACTTCCGCATCGCTATCTCAAAGTGGGAAAAGCAGTCCCCAGAGCACCTACTTGACTTTCCCTGCAGAAGTCAAGTTGCTGATTGATGCAAAGGCTCTTCCGGAAGCTCGTGTGCACGTGAGCGATGTGAAATGTGGAGTACCCAGTGAGGCACTTGAGATTAGGGTCCAAAGGTCCAAAAACGCAGGCAAACTGTGGGAACAGGCAGAAAGACTTCCCAAGTCATCTACTGCCTTACACCAGGGCCCCTTCTTCAGCTCACATCTATGGCTTCATGGGTGGTCTCCTGCCATCAGTAATCAAGAGACATGGGGAGCCGAGCTGTGTCATAGATAATTCAGGGTGCTGTGCGGGAGCTCCTGGGGTGCAGACGTATAGTCTTGCATCTCCCAACGTAAGACCCCAAAGGACGAAAGTGAAGAGAATCCTCCCCTCTAGTTACGGCCTTACGTTGTGCCCCTGGCCCACTTCTCTGAGAGAGGGAGGAGTGGTCTCAGAGGCACAAAGAGGCCTGAAAAGTTGGTGCAGGTCTTGGATGGTGGTCAGCAGTCTGAAAGGCACGGTTGATTCCAAGCAGGAAGATCCAGGAAGGGCCAAGGAGATACTAGCAGCTCAAGTACCTGATGTGCAAGCGTGAGGACCTGAGTTCAGAAACCACATAAAAGCCCTGTGTGGGGCGAGCACCTGTAACTCCAGCACAGAGACCGGCAGCTCCTGGGGCTTGCTGGCCAGCCAGACTACATGAAATAACAAGTGATGAGATCTACGCTCGGCAAGAGACCCTGTCTCTCTGAAAATAAATAAGGCTGAGAGTGATAGGGAAAGCCCCCCCACAGTTGATCTCTGGTCTCCACAGGGACAAGCTCTCATGCAGTCACCGCCAACCCCCCCCCCCCCATCACACACATGAGAAAAGGCAGCGCAGAGGAACGTGGACTGCCCTGCACAAGCCCAAAGCCTGTGCCTCTCCCACTGCTCACCGGGGACTGTCCACCCCAGAGAAGACTGCAAGCAGCCTCCTGTGAAGGGCAGCCAGTCTTCTTGTCAGACAGCGTGGACTCTTCCCCCTCTAAAGTAGATCTAGTCACTGACCATGCTGGCCATCTAAGCCGCCAGCTACCAATGCCCACACTGAGGTCTCCATATGACACCCCTCAGAAAGACCAGTCGCCAACCTGGTAACAGACAGACCGAGTGAGCCTTTCTCCCCAGCACCAAGACAGCTGGCGTTGGTTGCCTGGCCTGGATGAGTGCCTTTGCCAGCTCTGCCGCATCCCCTAACACACAATGCTTGCCTCATCTATCTTGTGCCCACAGGGTGTTGTTCAAATGAAAAGACCCATTTTATGGCAGAAGAAGAGTGACAGGGAATGAACAGCCATTCAAGGAACAGCTGGGCATTGTTGTGGTAGAAATGCCTGTTAAAGGATCAGTGAGGGCACCAGCCTAGGGACAGCCTGGAGAGGTGCTCACCTCGTGGAACTCACCTGCAGAGTGTGGCAGACATAGTCACTGACTGGCCAACATAGTGACTGTGTCTCCAGAACTTATGATACAGATGTCCCATAGTATCCACAGATAATTGGGCCTCCTGAAACTCAATCCAAAAGTGCTCAAGCTTCTCAGATAAAATGCAGCAATATTTGCTTATCTGTGTAACCCTCCCATATATTTTATTTATTTTTAAAATTAAAATATAATTACTTCATTTCCCTCCATTCCCTTTTCTTCTTCCAACTTCTCCTATGAACCCTCCTTATGCTCTCTCTCTCTCTCTCTCTCTCTCTTTCTCTCTCATCTCTCAAATCCATGGTCTTTGTTATTGCTACACACACACACACACACACCATGCTTGCACACACACACAAATGCATAAACATATAAATACTGCTTACATGTACATGATTTCAGGGCTGATCACTTAGAATTAGATAACAAGCTGGGGGCTCCCCACTCGGGAAGACCATTTCTGCTCTCAGCATCCCTTAAATTGCTGTAGTTCTTTGTCTAGGGGCAGAGTCATGAGATTTCTTCCTTCCATGTTAGCATGTCTATTAGTGTGTTGTCCTCATTCAGAGATTACTTAGGGCAGCCATGTAACTATAATCTCTGTCGTTTCTAGAAGGCACAGCAGGTTCTCTGGCTCTTACAATCTTTCTGTTCTATCTTTCATGATGTTCCTGAGTCTTGGGTAGAGGAGTTGTGCTGTGGATACCCCAGACTCCCGTATATCTTAAATAATCCCTATGTTACTTACACTACTAACTTAATGTACACAGTTATCTTATGACATTATTCATGGAATAGTGGCAAGGAAAGTCTGCACATACTCGGTATACTCAGAATGCTTGTTCTTGACCTGCATTTGATTAAATCCCCAAATGCAGAATCCACATATTTGAAGGCCAAATGTACTTGGGTTTGGAAATCAAGGGATAGTATTGGAATTAAGACTTTTTTCCTTGTCCAGAGAAGCACTGAAGGCCAAGGCTATCACTGGCCAGGGTAGTGGCATCCAACCAAAAAGTTTTTCCAATGGAATGGTAATTCCATGAAACTTGAAGCTGTGCTCACAACTGGGCCATTTCAAGTTCCTCATGACAGTAGGCAAACAGGCAAAAGAAAAAAAAGGAGTAGCTATAAATGAGGACAGTGAGCCTTGATGGGCACCAGGAGCCAGCATGGCTGCTACTGTGTTTGGACAGGAGGACACATAGACAGAGAACAACCTAGACTATTCCTCGTGCTTCTGGGTCCCAGGATGAAGGCTAGAAGCGTGAGACCAGACTTCAAAAGGATGAAGTTTGGAGCATCTCACCAGGCAAGCCAGCCAGAGCATCTGAAGTGTGGGCCGAGAACAAAGGGAATCTCACATGGGTGGAGGAGGGGAGGAGTAGCTCATCTGGGGATGGAGTTTCCTTTCTTGTCTTGCCTTTCAGAGATGTCGGTTGGTTGAGATCTCACAAGGGACCCCGACAACCAGTCTTTCATCCCTTCTCTTAAAATAAGTGAAGAACATTGTGTTCCCATAAAGTTGAAGGCCCTATGTAGAGCCAGCCCCCTTATCCCTAGGGCATTCCAAGACCCCCGGTGGATGCCTGAGATTGCAGATGGTTCTGAAGTCTACAAGCACGGTGATTTCTTTTTACATGTGTGTGATTAAGCCAAACTCCGTAAACTGGGCACAGTAAAAGAGTCACAACCATAAAATATACCTATAAAAGCCTGTGGACGAAGCCTCTCTCCCTCTCCCTCCTCTCTCTTCCCCCTCTCTCTCCCCGCCTCTCTCTCATTAGATCCTCCCTTCTCTTGGGATGGTGTTGAAGTGACGTAGGTAGTGTACACAGAGAACTGTGGGATGGAGACATAGGAACTATCATCCATTCATGTTGGCTACAGTTAACTGCAGGTACCTGAAACTGTAGATATCAGAGCCACAGAGAGCCAGGACATCCGTTCAGGAGCGGGGGCCTGCTGTCTGGGAACAGCTCTGCACAGCTCACAGGGTGGAGAGTACAGCCCAGGGCACGACTCTGCCCCCTCAGATCTCACTGAGCATCCCTCTCTCACCATTCCCTGCCATTTGCCCTGCCACAGTACAGCTGTGGCTAGCGAGGTCACCTCAGTCTCTGCCGCGGGCACAACTTGGCAGAGCCTTGACTCTCAGCCACCACGCCCACATCTCCCTCCTGTCCCGGGGACTTCATTGAGAGCCCAAAACACGAGATGCGGTGGGACTCACCTGCCGTGCACACATCAGCAAAGGCACAGGAAATAATGCATGGCCAACTTTGAGCATTTTTCCCTTCCTCTCCCTAAGGGGTCCCCGAAAAGCAGCCTCTCTGAGGCCTGAGGAAGACAGCCCTGTTTGTACCAGATGTTTCTTTTCTCTTTCTTCTTCGCTGCCTTACTGCCCCTCCATACCAGAGAGTTCCTCCAGAATCAACAACCTGGGGACTTCGCTCAGTCTACCAAATACTTGGTCACGTTAGGCAAAGGAGTCTTGTGGCATTGACTGAGAGATGCGTTCTGTGTCTTGGTCATAGAAACAGAACCAAGTCTGCACACACTGGAGCTACAGGCAGGACCATTTATAAGTCTTGTTACCGGACACAGGAGGGCAGCATCAGAGGTAAACACAAGAACACTGACTAGCCTTATAGGAACTTGCTTAAATACTGAAGATGACTTTGGGCTTCTGAAAGCCACTGAACAGAAGAAGGGATTTGCCATTTCCACTCTATGACATATGAGAAATATAGAGTATCCAAAACTAGACTACCGGGCTACATAGTCCATTGCAGGCTGTGTGACATTAGGAAAGTTAGTTAACCTCTCTGGTCTTCAAATTTCATGAATTGAAAAAATAGTCATAATAATAAAAAGTGCCTGGGGTGTTGAACTAAGTGACTCAAACACACAATGTGGTTAACACTTCAGTAAGTATATTACCTTCTTAGCCATATCACTTAGTGTCTGTCACTCTAAATAATAGGGCTGGGTTCAGAGTCACACAATATCGACTCTAGCAGAACACTCAGAGACCTTTAAGGCTGGTTCCACTTGCATCCAGAGGGAGGAAGGGTTTGCCCAACATCACAGTTAGGACTCCTCCTCAATGCCCTCCTCACTGCCTCTGGGGCTGCTTCCTAGTTCTCTTACACTAAGAGTTAAGGCTGCTGCAAATCAGGAGAACCAAGAGCTTCTATTTTGTGCTGTCCTACAGCTCTGCACACACGGCCTGAGAGGGCTCTGCTCTATGGAACAGAGCTGGTCAGCCACAGTTGATTCGTTTGCTAACCTGCACCCCGCCTGCCTCAGAACCACTTTGTGGAAAGAAGGTAAAAAGCCCAGGTTCCTAGTCTATGTGAAGTCAGAACCATAGCTTCATGCTGGGCTCGGGAGTTTGGAGACTCATGTGTCTCCAAGTCCTCATGCTTGCTGTCACCGCTGGTACAGATTTGGTATGCTGTGGCACCTGGTGGTTGAACCTTGTTCGAGAATCTCTTGCATCATTTTTGTTTCAAAAACTGTCCCTGCAATGATGTGTTTGCTGTTTCCAGTCCAGACCAGACACACTGTTAATATCTCTTCTAGATGGATTTCATCACCCATCTGGCTTTGGGAAGAACAAGGAAAAATGCATTCTGTTGATTTAAGGTTTTTAGGATCCAAGAAAGCTAGCTGGGACTAAGAGACTTCATGCCTGATCTCCAGCCAATCAGAGACTCTGCTGTCCCTCCTCAAATACTATACAAAAGATGTGCAAATATGACCCATTTTAGAGTCAAGTATAAAGTCTGGTAAATGTGTCCTTGAACTAAGCCAGAGAGGAGATCAGGACATGGGTCCCAAGTGATGGGTATTTTATAAATGGCATAGCCCCTTCTTGCTTTTGAGGGTGGACAGTGGCATACCAGCTTTCTGTCCACACCTTGTCTGACACACTGCCTCTTGGCCCTGGCTATTGGAACCTGGCTTCTCCGGGTACCACTGGGAAGGGGGAATGGTCCCCAGGAAGGGGAAGTGGTCCCCAGGAAAGGGGAGTGGTCCCCAGGAAAGGGGAGTGGTTCCCAGGATTAGGAGCAGTCTGTAGCTTTCTCTTTTCCCATTCCTTCATCCCTGCAGGTTCAAAGGTTTGCAGCTACTCAGTAGTGTTCTTGGGACATTTAGAAATTGGAGGGAGTGCGAAGGGAGTCTCTTTTATCACAACAAAAGGGGATTCAATGGGCACTTGGCAGGCCAGTGGTACAATGTGAGAGGTTGTCCATCCAACAAGAAATATTCCAGCAAACCAATGTCAGTGGTGCCCACTGAGAGATGCCAGCAATTGTAGTTGTCAGTCTTTATTGATCTAGACCCTCAGGCTCACAATTGCATCTGCATACACAATGCAGAAACACTTCTTCCTGCATATGATACTCTCAGATATCTTCTATTTTATTCTCTTCAATGTCATTAAATGGAAAAATCAGCTGATCACACCTCCTTAAATCATTTCCATGATCCACAAATAGGCAATGACCCATGTGATGATTTCAAAATCTTTAATCAGGGTGAGGAATGTGGGGCAATTCTTAAGATGAGACTCACTCTACTGCTCTCATACTTGACTTTTAAAACTCGCAGGGCTTCAAGCTGGAAAGACGGCTTGGTGCTTTACAGCATGCACTGCTCTTGCAGAGGACAGGAGCTAGACATCCACATTCAGCAGCTAGCAACCACCTAGCGCTCCAGCTCCGGGGAAACTGATGCCCTGTCTGGCTCCGTGGGCACCTACACTCATGTGCAGGCATTCATACACACCATATTTAAAACATCAATGACGGCATTGCTTTTTACAGCGGAGCAGTACTCCATTTTGTAAATTACCACATTTTCTTTATCCATTCTTTGATCGAGGGGCATCTAGGTGTTTCTAGGTTCTGACTATTACAAATAATGTTCCTACAAACATTGTTGAGCAAATGTCCTTGTGGTATGATTGAGCATCTCTTGGGTATTTGCCCAGGAGTGGTATCACTGGTTCTTGAGATAGAATGATTCCCAATTTTCTGAGTAACTGCCATACTGATTTCCAAAATGGCTGTACAAGTTTGCACTCCCACCAGCAATGGAGGAGTGTTCATCTTACTCCACATCCTCTCCAACATAAGCTGTCCCCAGTATCTTTTATCTTAGCCATTCT